ATTAGTTCTCCAAACTTCCAGAGAACAAATTTAAAATGTGGCCTTTAGCGCGATGGCGACTGCTTCCTAGAATCCACGCTATGTTGTCGCTATAGCCCGACGGAAGAGGCGGTACTGCGGACACGGCAAGCCACCACACTCGGTTATGCGTTCGTCACTTTTGCATCCAATCTATTTTCCAGGATATCAAACTAGAGGATTATACTACTAGTACAGATGAGGTAACGGTTCTGTAATAGTAGCTAACATACTATTTCACATATTTCTCCGTTTCCTTCGAATACCATTTTAAATTTTTTGATGCGAGTACTCACAAATCATTAGATTCGCGATTTCTTAACTTTATCTAAAAGGGACTCAAAATCGTGTAGCAATACGTGCAGCATTATTTCCAACTACACTCACAATCTTTTTTAGATAATATTTTACTTTCTAAGGTCTTCTGTTATCGGCCCAACTGCTAAGAAACTTCCGTTGTCAAATCCGATAAAAAACATGACACGGACGTATAGCGACAGAGCTTTTTATTCCTACAACTCGATTTAATTGATCTCAAACCGACGTTTATCGTGATTTTAGAGCTATTCTGGATTGAATCTCTTTTACCCAAGTAAAATAGCCGAAGCTAATCGAGCGGGGGATCGACCCAGCAAGTCGACCATGGGGGATATACCCAACGAAGGTCGATCAAAGTGGGATAATTACCCAGCAAGTACGATCAAGTGGGAGAGATACCCAGGCAAGTCGATTCGAACGTGGGGATATACCCAGGCAAGTCGATCAAGTGGGGGATATACCCGCAGTCGATCTGGTGGGGATCGATCATGCAAAGTCGATCAAGTGGGGGATCGACTCAGAAGTCGTTCAAGTGGGGATTCCTCTGTGCACAGTCGATCACGTGGAAAAACGATCGACCCAGGCAAGTCGATCAAGTGGGGATCGACCCAGCAAGTCGAAATCAAGTGGGGAACCTCAGAGCAGTACAAGATCGATAAGTGCGGGATCCTACCCAGGCAAAGTCGATCAAGAGTGGGGGATTATACCAGCAAGTCGATCATAAAGGGACGATCGGAAGGAAATATACCCAGCAAGTCAGATTCAAGTGGGGATATAACCCAGGCAAGCGTCCTTATCAGTAGGGGGATCGTAAGCAGCCGTCGATCAAGATGGGGGATCGGACTCAGCAAGTCGATCAGACTGGGGGATCGACTCAGCAGTCGATCAGTGGGGGATCGATCAGCAAGATCGACAAGTGGGGGATCGATCAGCAGTCGATCAAAGTGGGGATCGACTCAGCAAGTCATCAAGTGGGGGATCGACTCAGCAAGTCGATCAAGTTGGTGATCGACTCA